ATCCAGATTGTTCCACAAGTGTCTCACTTTTGTCGCATTTTTTCAGTTTGTCACCCACTTTTCCCGCTAAACTGAAACTTGTCTTGTCTCACAATCATTTGTCCTGTGTGTCGCACCATTTTTCTACTTCCCCCTCGCTTTTCTACTAGTTCGACGAATTTGATTATCAGAAAGTACCTGTTCTTCAATTTCTCACTATATGGATTTCTGTTGTTTAATCCCACTAAGGTAATTTAATTCCAAGAATAAATACCGTTGGCACATACATGTCCCAAAATAGAAAAAATCTGCATCAGTAATCAGTAATTTATTTTTTCATCATGCTTAAAAATATGCATCGTTCCTAAAACATATTTTAACTTCCACGTGTATCATCAATCGGTATTCAAATAGTTAAAGATTGGATTGTCAGATGGTATTGCCGTGTAGTATTAGTTGATTTCCACTGGTGTCACATTGCTCAACGACGTTCTTGAATCAAATCGTTTGAACAGTGAAGCTGATCGCTCCAATTTGCCTTTCACTTTCAAGCTCCAAAAGACTTTCAATTAAGTTCCTTTATTCAATTTGGGCTCGCTTTAAATAAATACTAAACACGGGAGAAGTCGATCGGGAAGACGCAGTCAAATAGCGAAGAGCAGCTTTCATCGCGTATAAGTTTCGTTATATCGTAGTCGAACTGCGCGAAGTTTGTCGGAAATATTGACTTCAACGGCATGAACAATCGATTCCAAATATTGATAAATGAAAAAAAGCGTGTTTGTTAAATGAGTATGAAATTAGAAACAGTGTAAACTTAAGGTCGACTGGTTTTTTATTATTAGAAATTGAGGTGCTATAGTGTAGGATCTACCGCAATATCTCACACACCATGCACATTATGAGGTTAGGATGCGAATGCAGTGTTTATTGCTAAATTGAATGAAAAGAACAAAAAACTAAGAAGTTGAAGAACTAAATGATAGCCAATGTGGCGTGAACTTTACGCTGCAGTACTATAGTATTCTGAGGTAGATTTCTCGCTATGATATCGCATCTCAAACACAGGCTATCCCTTGGTAGGCGGCATTCGGCTGAAGACCTCACGCTATGGTGTCATAACCTAACCTCAGGCTGTCCATCTTAGGCATGTGATTCTATCTTGCACTATTACAGCCTTTTACGTGTTTGCTATATATAATATCAGTTTAAATATTAATTGGTTGAGTCTGCTATCGTCTAACGCATAGGTTCTCAAAGTGCTCGGTACGGAGCCCCAGGGCTCCGCGAGAGAAACCCAGGGGCTCCGCGAGCTATTGGATTACTTTTCAAAATACTGACTAGTTTTGTAACTGTTCTAATAAGAAGCAATAACAGCTTTGATAAAATCTGACAACGAAATAGCCTCGAAATATGGCAAAGAGGCGGAATTGAAAAATGACATTATTTATAAGCAGGAGCGCAGCCAGGATTCTTAAGAGGGTGGTGGTTCAAAATTGGAATCGGAAATTTCCGCGCAACATTCTTCGCGATTAAAAAAAACGGATAACGAGATTTCTATTGCGTAAAATATTTAATCCATGACCGATGCGAGCATTTAACGAACAATTGAAATTTATTTTATTGCATTCGGCTCCGTTGGTAGTTTCAGAATGAAAAAAAAGGTACATCGCGGAGCGCGCACAATTGATTGCGTGCGGCTCCGTCGGTAGTTTCATAATGGGGGAAAAGGTACATCGCGCGCACAATTGACTCTGTTTCGATTTTGCAGTTACTACGATGAAAACCTAACATAACACCAATTTTTGTGATTTACAATGTCTATAAATACGTTTTCAATCTGAGGTGAGTCTGCTGAAACCAAACCTGTGATCTTCCATTTTAAGTTTTAGTTTTATTATTTTAGAATGCCGCTTTTCAATCAAGAAATTTGAGTTGCGGATTTATCTCTTTATTAATTATTATTTTTAGCATTTCGTAACGATGACTATAATATGGTAACATGTTTTTCACATTGAACTCATAATTTCCCACGAGAACAAAAAAGCGAATAACGTCGTCATTGTGTAACTATACATGTATATATATGCCGAGGGAAATTTTTGATTTAGGGAGAATAAACACCGGCGTAAAGATGTTAAAAGGTTCAAAGACACGCCATGCTGACGAAAAAAATCGGCGATTGTAACAAAATGCAATTGCGCACGTTATTAGCGGCCTTTTAAGTCTTCCAAAAATGTCAAAAGGGAAAAGATTCGACCCCTTATTTATTAATATGTTTGTCAAGTGTCAAATTTACAGCTTTAGTGTATATATAATTTGATTATTCTCCGTTTAAGATCTACAGGTTTTAAAAAACTAACCTAAAACTAGCAGAATAGTCTAACTGAATCATCACTGTGTACTTCAACATCAATTCCAGCATATAAGTCAATTATCTATAACAACATGGCTTCGCAGCCCAAGCAATCCCTGACCAGGAGTCTCCCGGATCCTGGCCTTTCACCAATTGGCCCCTTAACGCAACAACAGGTGGGGCAAGCTAACTTCCAGATGAATCTCCAGGAAGCAATACAAAGAAATATAGTAGACCAATTACCATCTTTAATTGCCAAATGCCTTGCCGAAAACTTCAACTCCGCGAACTTCACCCTTGATACCTGCCTATGAGTCCTGGGCTAAAAGAATGTATGGAGGACCAAATGGTGTCTCTAAAAGAAATAAAACAAGATCTAGCTTCTATTAAAGAATCTCAAAAGTTTTCAATCAACAAAATATGATGAGATTATTGCCAAGCAAAAATAACAGATGGACAAACTTATGCTCTATGGCAAAAAATAAGGATCTAGAAGAAGTTGGTCTATGACTTTGGAGGACGAATTATACTATGCCACAGAAAAAATTGAGGAACAAGAGCGCCGATCTAGATTGGATAATCTAGAATTTCATGGCATCGCACCTAATGAAAATGAGGACCCGACAATTGATAACAGAATTGGAAAGATCATCCACGTGCATCAACCATCTGACATCCTGTAACACATCGTTGTCCAACGCGAAATTCCAACATCCAAAACCGATGTCGCAAAATTACCAACGCAAAATCAGAGCTAAAATTCTCAAAAATCGTCACTTGATCAAAACCGCTACCAATTCAACATCCATAAGGAACCTATCTAAAGCATTTGTTGTTGAGAATTTGACCGACAAAAACAAGAACTTATTTTACAAAGCGAAAATTCTCAAAAGACAATGTGGTTACGCCTTCCTATGGACATCAAATGGCAAAGTGCTGATAAAAAAGAACAAAGACACTAACACTTTATCCATAACTGAAGATGAAGATCTTGATAAAATAAGATGAGTCTATTTAATTTTTTACTGCCATATCCTAGTAAATTATTCTATCATGTTATTGGTTTAAATAACTTCAGTCCCCATTGGAATAGCCCATCTAATGACTTTGCCCCCCTCGCCTCAACCAACCTAATGTTATCTAATTCGAACCCATTAGCATTCCTCATCTATGAGTGATCCTTATCCTACCTGGGAATCAACCAATTTTCATCCCGAAATTCCTTCTATTGCAAGTCGATACCTTGAAATATCCAATATCAATAGAGTAACTTCAAGTTTTCTAGCAACAGACTTTATTATATTGCACCATAACATCAGATCTTTGGCAAAATATGCCGATAATCTAGTTGAGCTAATTTCAAATTTTTGTATTCCACCTCAAATTATTGCTCTAAGCGAGACTAGGATCATGAGTGAAACTGCTGTTGTCAATATTGATATCTCTGGTTACACTTTCATTCATGCTCCCTCCTCTACTCGCGCAGGCGGTGTTGGTTTTTATATTAGGGACAATCTAAACTTTCATTTATGCACTGACTTCAGCCTTTGCCTCCCAAACTGTGAGGACTTGTGGATCGAACTCAAATATTTCCAACCAACCTCAAAAATTCAAAATCTTGTTGTCGGTGTAATATATAGACATCCAAAAAATAATATCCATCATTCACCACAGCAATGTCTTGTTTATTTGAGAAGCTGGCGATGGCTAAAAAGCAATTTATTATATTAGGCGACTTCAATATAAATCTTTTTAATTCTTGTGACAATCCTACTACCAAGTATCTGGATATGCTAATGTCCAATTTCATATGTCCACTTATCACCAAACCAACCAGAGTGACCTCAACCTCCCACACATTAATTGACCACATCTACACTAATATCATAGATTCCCGCACTTCGTCATTTATTTTGCTCAGTGATCTCACCGACCACTTTCCCATAATGTGCACAATACCAGCAACTAATAGTAACGTTAAAACAAACACTCGCATGAAACGGGACATGACTAAATTTTGTGCTGACTCGTTCAGGCTAGAAGTTGAGTCAATGTGTAATAATTATACTAGTGTTATATTATCTGAAGTAAACTTCAATAGCTCATTTGATACTTTTCTTAGTCACTTCAAGTGGTTAATCAATAAGCATGCCCCATTAAGACCATTCGCGTAGAGAAAACAAATTTTATTCCAAACCTTGGATTACTAAAGGAATTCGTAATTCCATTAAACATAAGAACAAGATGTTCAAAAGTAAGTTCCTGAAGGGAAATTTATCCCAGCGTCTCCACTTTAAAAAATATAAAAAATTTTGACACATTTGCAGAGGAGATCAAAACAAATGTATTACCATAACATCCTAGAGAACAACAGAGGCGATGTTAAACGCACTTGGAAAACTATAAATGACATCATCAAAGTAAGGTCCAATGATGAAACCACTATCTCGGAACTGAAGCTTGAAAATGGTACCATAGTCTCAGACCCTGTCGCGATATCCGTTGAATTTAATAAATTTTTTTCATCCGTAGGAAAGAGACTTGCCGATAATGTCCCACACAGTACGAAATCTTTCAAAGCCTTTTTGGGTGCTCCTACACAGAATTCGTTTTTTCTGGAGCCATCAACACCTTAGAAGTTCACCAAGTAATAATGAACCTGAAAAAAGGCAAAGCAGTTGGGCATGATAATATTCCTTCTTTTTTCTTAAAATTAGTCGCAGACAGCATATCCCCAGCTTTGAGTCATTTCTTTAATCTATCATTTAGTTTAGGAATTTTTCCCTCCGCTCTGAAGATTGCTAGGGTAATACCCATCTTCAAAAGTGGCAACAAAAATAATCCTTCAAATTATAGGCCAATTTCAATTCTACCCTGTATCGGCATCGTCCTGGAAAAATTAGTCTATAAAAGAATGCTCAACTTCTGTAACAAATTCAATCTGATCGACAAATGCCAATTCGGATTTCAATCCAATCACTCGACTTCCCATGCCATCCTAGATCTTATTTCATTTATCTATGAAAAAATTGATAAAGGGGAGTCTGTCTGTTGTGCATTCCTGGATTTAAAGAAGGCCTTTGACACAGTTGATCATCAAATTCTTGTCCAAAAGTTGATACACTGTGGTTTTAGAGGTAACGCATGCAAACTATTATGTAATTACCTGAGTGGTCGATCACAGTTTGTTGAAGTAGGATGTCATAGGTCTCCGATGTTGCCCATCCACTGTGGAATTGTCCAAGGTTCGGTCATTGGACCATTGGCTTTCTTACTTTTCATAAATGATTTGTCGAACTGTTCGAATCTTTTAACAAAACTCTTCGCCGATGACGCTTGCTTGCTTGCCAGTGCCAAAGATTCAACCACGCTCCAAAATACTATGAACACTGAAATAGATAAAATAATTGAGTGGATGTTATGCAACAAACTCACTGTGAACGTAAAAAAATCTAAAGTCATGCTATTCAGTCCTAAATCAATTAAAAAACATTCCAACATGTTAATCAAAATCAGGGGGGTTGCTTTGGAAGTTGTTCAATCCTTTAAATATCTCGGGCTCTATATAGATAGTAACTTAAAATGGAACACTCATATTACCGAGATGCACAAGAAATTGTCAAGGTCTGTTGGGATTTTGGGAAAACTTAGGCATTATGTGCAGGATGCTACCCTGCGAACCATTTATTTTGCTCTTTTTCAATCCCACATCCAATATGCTATAACTGCATGGGGCTCTGCAACACAAACCAACATTCACAAATTGGAGGTCTTACAGAATAAAGCTGTTAGAACTCTCTCCAGAGCGTCTATTCGTACAAACTTAAACACCCTTTACCATAAAACCAGGGTGTTGAAACTATCCGACATTTATACTCTAGAGATTGCCAAAGTTATGCACCAATTTCAGAATAATTACTTGCCCACAGCGTTCGACAATTATTTTGTTTCGCTTACCTCTGTGCATGAACACAACACACGCTCTTCGACCAAATCCAATCTTTTTGTACCTCGCTTTTCGCTGAGCAAATCTCAAAATTCCCTGAAATACAAAGGCGTAATAATTTGGAATAACATTCCCCAAAGTTTACGTGACTCCACATATGCTACTTTCAAAATAAAATATAAAAAATTCATGCTTTCATCCTACCTGTCTTTCTCCAGCACATCTGTTTGATGTGCTTACTGACTTTCCCTCGGCACTGCCAGCAGAATACTTGACTAGGTCCACAACCTCCCAGAGTCGACAGTACCTGTAATAAGTGAATCTGAATGTTTCATGTAAATTTTAAGTTGCTTCTTTATTATCATCTACTTCCATAGTGCATGCTCTGCACTATATTATACTGTATGGCCATTTGTCATACAATGGTAATTCAATTTTGCTCATAGCCTAATCGTATAGTGTTAGCAGTATCTTTCAACAGTTCTACACTCATGATCCTTGATATTGGTCTCTCACCAAATACAATTTAATAACTATCTCGTATATATTTTTGTAAAAAGCTATCATATTTACCACTTTATTATTATTGTGCTTTGTTGCATTTTCGAAATTTGTATATATATAGCACTGTTGATACTCAGTGCTGCAGTGGTTATTTCATCCATCTGTTCATACACATATCGTGTTCATTCTATATTCTCAACGATTCCAAGCGGTATGCTTACTAATTTACAACGCTATTTATTGTTACCCCCATCTACTTTGTTGAGTTAACCTGTTTTTCACAGATTAGAATAATTTTTATCTGTAATGTATTAATGACGATTCGACTTACCCCAGCACTTGCAATCTTCTTGCACCCCAGCACTTGCAATCTTCATGCAATCTTATTCGAACTCTTGGCAAACATTTATAACTATGATTACGCCGTGTTATCGGCATAATATCCCTACCGGGATATATTTAAAATCTGTTAAATAACTATCAATTCCATAACGCTGCGATATCGGTTCGGTATCCTGTCATCGCACTGTACTGCATTCCTGCTGCCGTTCCCATAGTTACTCGCACATATGTGCTTGGAGTCGTTTTTGGTTTTGCTTTTCTGTGTCTCGAGCGTCTCTTGGATTCAGGTCGTCTCGATTTTTCACTTCTTTATATTCTTTTATTTATTGTTTGACTTTTTTCATTGTTTTATGATTCATTTATTAGACTTTAGCTCAGGTGTCGCCGCTCGATAACCAATTTTGGTTTTCGCGACTCCTTTCACCTCGAATTATCCGTTTTTGCTTCCTTTTACATTCCGTATGCATTTAGTGTATTTCATGTGTGGTGAAAAAATAAACTACTGATTACTGATTACTGATATGTTTGAAATTTAGATTTATGTATGACTTGTATTAACCCTAGGGTTCAGCATTTAAATTAAGTAAAGTACTTTTAACTTGCTCAGGAATATTAATCTGAAAGTAACAACTTTAACATTTATTTTGGGGCTCCGTGAATAATAGTCAACCTTTCCAAGGGCTCCGCAACACCAAAAGTTTAAGAACCCCTGGTCTAACGAACCAAACTATGCATTTTCTAACAACAAATCAGTAAGAAGTTGTTTGTTGCACGTGGAGATTTTCTTCGATTCTGTCAACTCAAATTTTGTGCATTTGTGCTGGCTCCACAGATTGCCTTTCCGAATACATTTTTTTTGTGATCATTTTTTTTTATGTTTACTTTATGAATAAATCATCATCATTATTAATTCTTATATACATCTCTCACTATATATTTCAGTATAAGTCATACACTTATCCTGTTTGAAACATACTTTTCCAGCTTGTTTCACAATTATATTGTTTTTCACACACTTGCACTGACTCAAACCGGCCTTGATTGATCCAAACTTTCCCTGTTGTCCAACACTTGTCCAGATTGTCCCACACATGCCTAGCTTGTCTCACAAATGTTAGGCATTTCCCTCATTTACCAGATGTCCCACACTTGTTCTGAATGTCACACACATATCCCGCTAGAGTTCTGCTTGTTTCGCACATCTCCACTCGTCGCACACTTTTCCTGCCCGTCGCACACTTGTACGTCTCTCCCAAACCTGTATAGCTTATTTCACAATTGTTTTGCAATTTTCTTGTTTGTATTCTACTTGTCTTGCTTGTGCCACATCTGTCCTGTTTGTCCACTTTTCCTGCTTCACTTAAAAATGTTCTGTTTGCCCAATACTTGCGTCCTTGCCCCACACCTGTTCTGTTTGCCTCACACTTGTCCAGCTTGTTTCACATCTTACTTGCTTGTCCTATATATGTTTTGTTTCAAATAAACTCGCTATGATTGTATGTTAATTAGCCTGATTGTCTCTCACCTATTAATTTTAACTCAATTGTTCTATTTGTCTCACACATGTCCTGCTTGTTCTAAACATGTCCTCGCTGTCCTAGACTTGTTTTACCCATGTTCAGCTTGTCTCACTTGTCACTTAATTGTCTTGTTTGACTTCTCCTTTATTTGATTGCTTTACTCTTGTCTGAATGTCTCACATTTGTCCTAATTGTCTTACATTCGTCCCAATTGTGCTACACTTGTCCTGCTCGTCCGCAACTATTCTTCTTGACCCAAACTGTACAGTTTGTCCAGCTTTTTTCACTCTCCTCTAACTTGTTGTTTTGTCACACACTTGTTCATCTTGTCTCACATTTTTTTGTTTGTTTTGTATATGTTCTGTTTGACTGAAATTTGCTGTAATTGTCTCGTAATTGGCCTGATTGGCTCACACCTATTCTTCTTTCTTCTAAAATGTTTTGTCTGTCTAACGCATGTCACGCCTGTTCCAAACTTGTCTTTGTGGTACTACACTTGTCTTACATTTGTCCAGCTTGTCTCATGTTCGTCTTCTGTGTCGCTCACTTGTCTTGTTTGTCTCATTCTTTTTTATTATCTTTCGCTTATTCTTATTGTCTCGCATTTGTCTTGCTTATCTCACTTTTATCCTAACTGTGCTACATTTATGCTGCTCGTCCGCAATCGTCCGTTTTTCACACATCTCCCGTTATTCCCACATTTGTCCTGCTTGTCCAACACTTGTGCAGTTTGTCATACACATGTCCAGCTTGTTTTATTTGGCCACTTTTGTCGTGCTTGTGTTTTCCTATTTGAACAACACTTGCACTGAGTGTCTCACACTTCTTTCAATAGTTTTATTCTTGCCCTGTTTATCACGCACTTTGTAACGCACTGATTGGAGTCTTGAAACTGCGCTACGTTTATACCCAACCACTGTCAAGTACCACGTCCCGTTTCTCCTACAATTTGCAGTGAAAACTCGTAACATTCAGTCCCCACTCACAGTCTTGAACCACTAAACTTTTGAAATGAACACCTCAGAAGATCACACGAACTGAAAGAACTTTGTTGTAATATTACGCTTGAAAACACGACAGAACAGTACGACAATATCACTCACAAAATGCATACAGAGTTTGTGGCTCAACTGAATTTAAGTTTGACTAAATATTAGTTTGAGTTTGACTAATACACACACAGAGTTTGATTTCAAATATTGAAAGATTCCGGGATTAAATAACTGAATAAAATACAGAAGAAATGTTAAACATAAGCCACACAATGAATCCCAGACTATCCTATATCCTAACATTATGATTCCTTACTAAATAATAAAACTAACAGAAATCTAAACGATTCAAAATACATACACTCTTCTAAATCCTAAAAAGACCTGCAAAACAGATAACAGCAGATTGCGACTTAACTATCTCGCCTCGGTCACGCACATCAGAGAGCATGACAAGATACTAACTAAAAAGCAAGTGTCGTCATTTGTCGATTGCCGCAGCCAATTGCGTGCAAGACAAACATATTGCGACATAGCTTAACTCACTCTCTTGAATACGATAAAGAAGTACAGAAATGCGACCTGCGTCCACTACACACTTGTCTTGCTTTTCTCAAGCTTGCCATGATTGCCTTACATTTATCCTGCTTTCTTCGACTCGTTCGACTTATCTCACAATTATTCTCTATGTCCCACACTTGTACAGCTTGTTTTGCAATTGTCTCACTTGTCAAACACCTATCCAGCTTGACTCAAACTTGTCTCAATTTTCCCACCCTCCTTCTTATTCAACAATTTTTTTCACTTGACGCACGCTTGTCCTTTTTGTTCCACATTTCTACCGCTTTGTACAAGCTTGTTCTGTTTGACCGAAGCTGTTCGCACATTTGTCATGCTCGTCCTATTTTGTCCTGTTTATTTCACACATATCTTGCTTGATTCAAACTGCCCGTTATTTTTTTGCTGCTTGTGCTAGAATTTGGCCTGTCCTATTCCTATTCTTTCACACCCTTTGCTTTGTCCTACAATTCTCACATTTGACCAAGGCTTCTCCTGTTAGTTCTACATTTATCATGCTTGTCTCCCAATTCTCTTGCTTGTTATAAATTTGTCCGGTTTGACTCAAACTTGCTATGATTGTCTTCTAATTGTCCTGATTCTCTCACAACTATTATTCTTTTCTGTGAATTTCTCATAATTGTTCAACATTTATATTCGTTTGCCTAGGCTTATCTGATACTTGTCCCGCTTGTCACTCACTTCTCATTCTCACTTTTTTCATGATTTTGTCCAGTTTGTCTCGCACTTGTTTTGGCTTGTTCCAAATTTGTCTTGCATGCCCCACATTTGTTTTGGACTCCACATTTGCCCTGACAATCCCACAAAATATAGATTTCGTCAAACACGTTTCTCATACTTGTCTTGCTTGTCCGGCACTTGTCCTGCTTGATTGGAAAACATTTTTTTGCTTGCACCACAATTACCATGTGCGTCACAAACTGTTTTGCGTTCCTCACAATTGTCTTCCTTGTCTCACATTTGTTGTCTCACTCTGGTCTGGCGTGTTTCAATCTTGTCTTTTTTTCACACTTGACCTACCCTCACATTTGAACCGTTTATTACAAAGCGGTCTTGCTTATCACAAACTTGACTTGTTATCCTACATTATCTAAAACTTGTCCAGATGGCTTCACATTTTACTTACCCTTACTGAATATGTCCTGTTCTACTCAAACTTGCTATGATTGTCTCTCAAGTGGCCTAAATGTCTCACACCTATTCATTCTACTTTCATTCAAATGTCCTGCTTGTCCCACGATTATCCTGCTTGTTCCCAACATGTCCAAACTGTCCTAGACCCTTTCCAAACTTGTTCGACTTGTTTCACTTGCCATTTACTTCTCTCGTTTGTCTCACCCATTACGTAATTGCTGCACTTCTGTCCCGATTAACTGAAATTTATCCAGATTGTTCCACAAGTGTCTCACTTTTGTCGCATTTTTTCAGTTTGTCACCCAATTTTCCCGCTAAACTGAAACTTGTCTTGTCTCACAATCATTTGTCCTGTGTGTCGCACCATTTTTCTACTTCCCCCCCAGAAAGTACCTGTTCTTCAATTTCTCACTATATGGATTTCTGTTGTTTAATCCCACTAAGGTAATTTAATTCCAAGAATAAATACCGTTGGCACATACATGTCCCAAAATAGAAAAAATCTGCATCAGTAATCAGTAATTTATTTTTTCATCATGCTTAGAAATATGCATCGTTCCTAAAACATATTTTAACTTCCACGTGTATCATCAATCGGTATTCAAATAGTTAAAGATTGGATTGTCAGATGGTATTGCCGTGTAGTATTAGTTGATTTCCACTGATGTCGCATTGCTCAACGACGTTCTTGAATTAAATCGTTTGAACAGTGAAGCTGATCGCTCCAATTTGCCTTTCACTTTCAAGCTCCAAAAGACTTTCAATTAAGTTCCTTTATTCAATTTGGGCTCGCTTTAAATAAATACTAAACACGGGAGAAGTCGATCGGGAAGACGCAGTCAAATAGCGAAGAGCAGCTTTCATCGCGTATAAGTTTCGTTATATCGTAGTCGAACTGCGCGAAGTTTGTCGGAAATATTGACTTCAACGGCATGAACAATCGATTCCAAATATTCATTAATGGAAAAGAGCGTGTTTGTTAAATGAGTATGAAATTAGAAACAGTGTAAACTTAAGGTCGACTGGTTCTTTATTATTAGAAAATTGAGGTGCTATAGTGTAGGATCTACCGCAATATCTCACACACCATGGTCATTATGAGGTGAGGATGCGAATTGAGTGTTCATTGCTAAATTGAATGAAAAGAACTAAAAACTAAAAAGTTGAAGAACTAAATGATAGCCAATGTGGCGTGAACCTTACGCTGTAGTACTATAGTACTCTGAGGTAGATTTCTCGCTATGGTATCGCATCCCAAACACAGGTTATCCCTTGGTAGGCGGCATT